AACCATTTGAAGTTCATATGGAAATTACTATGGGAAAACCAAACTATTTGTTCATTGTATTCTAGCCTTTTTCCATATTATACTGTTAACAAGTTCTGTTACTATTCTTATGGGAAACTTTCTCTGCTTCAACTTCAACTTCAGCCAAGCGTCAAATTAAATAATTATTCATTATTTAAGAGATTGATAATCTTATGGCATGATTAAGCAACTGTATTGTGGGCAACACTGTATTCTGCAGTGTGACATAGTAGCCATGATTTTTGTCCTCTATTCTTCGCGCCATAAACATCAATGTTGCCTGCTGAACAGTTAATGGAGCATAATCATAAGACATCAATGACTTGAATCATTGACATTGTTCCTTACATTTGATCGAAAAGTGGTCTTCAACAAAGTTGTAGCTGAGAAAATTTTCAACAAGCTCAGCTATCTTTTTCTAAAGTAGAATGAACTGGTAAATTTTGAGATAGATATGAACCGAAATTATGGTTTCTTCATAGTAATTCCCATATAAAATTCAAATGGCTTGTGCCAAGTCAGTTTCTCACTAAATGAGTTCAAATTTTGGGAGGCTAATCAGGGCCCAATTTGGAACCGTTTGAGCACTGTGGAGCGGAAAGTTCAAATTTTGCATCAGTCTATTGCACATACTGCATAATTTACACTAGACAACTGACAACATACCACAACAGTAGGCAAATTTTCAGGTTGCGAAAAGATACACCAGCTGGAGCGGGAATCGAACCCTCACTTCGTGGCACTCACAATACGTCTGAACGACGGGTGACGCCGCCCTACCACGAAGCTCACCAAGATAGATGAAATTCTACTCAGAATTAACTTGAAATTCTCCTTTGCTTTCACAACGAATTCGACGCACTTATTTTCAGAATTACCTTAAAATTCTGAATTCTAGGGCCATTTATAATTCTAAACTAATTCAGTCTGCTAAGGTAACTCAATATTCACAGGTACTTTAAAAAAATGCTAAGAATAATGCATTTGCCTTTAAATTCTCCCTAAACATCTTATGAATTATCCTCAAAAATCTCACGAACATATTTCAAAGTCCTGGTGGTTGTCTAAATTCAAAAGCCTTGCTTATTTCCCAAAGCTCAATTTATTGTTTTCAATCCTGAACAGTTTTTGATTTCTCTAAATTCCAAAATTAGGAAAATTCCTCCATATTGATTTTTTTTTATTTTTATAAATCCAGGATTAAAATATATAAATTATAGCTATAATCTAAACAAAAACTCCACCCTTTGGATTTTTATTTTTTGATTAGATGGTCCATCAATTGCAGTGATATTTTTAAAGCAACATATTTTTAAAATCTGAAAAAAAATCTGGAACATATTTAAAAAAATCTGGAAATATACGTGATCTGTCTGTGTATCTGGCAAGACGACTGGAAATCTGGAAAATCCAGCTAAATCTGGAATACTGGCAACGCTGCTTCTGGGTTAGTTCATCACCAGACCAAAACATTTTATTTATGATTATAGTCACTTTAATACATGTTAGGTTTATTCGTGACTTGTCCGGAGCAGTGCTGCCAATTGACGTAAGATATTGGTCTAGCACAGAATTTCACTTCCGGCACTGATATTCGTAGTAAGCATGAGACTAGGCGGTACGGCTTTGACATTACTATCCATATGAATATCACTAAGGAAAAGTTGAAAATCTTTCTTTTATCTCAATTAAACAACTTTTTTGTAAAACCGTAACATTTTTTTAGTATTTACAGATGAGATTTTTAAAGATCCGCACTCGATTAGCTGGCGCATATAAAACAAATTTGCGGTAGAACTTTGAATTTCGGAGGTCCCTTTACGATGTCAATGTCATTTGCGCACTGACATTGAGAGCCAGTGTTGGGAAAATATCAAAAAATCAAATCTCACCAATTTTGTAGAAGACATCATCTCGATATCTGTTAATATAAAAAAGTTAGTTTTTTGAAGTGCAGTTGCACCTTAAGAAAAATTAAGGTGAACATTCCAAAAGGTGCGGAATCCAGAACTATGAAAATCTTCTGAAGACACCTTAATGCTAAAACGTACGTACATCTCAGAAAACAATTAAGTTCACGAATTTGCACTTTTAAACCACAGTGCAACGCCCAAGATCACGCTTGATTTTCGTAGACAAAATCAACAAGCAAACAACTGCGCTTGATTTTCTAAGCTGTGATATCGCAGCTCGGAATATCAAGCTAACAAAACTCACCAGCTGCAAATCTCAACAAACTGGGGTGAGATTGAGTTTCATGATTTTTGCTTTACAACCCGAACGCAACCGAAACTTCCATAACGGCTGGCAGCAGACACTTCGTGTAAAGAGTAAAAAAAGATAGCAACCTATACTTTCTCGTTCTAAGAAAACGATGTGCAACGGAATCATTTTTGTATCTCAGCATGATTTTTGCGCCTTGTGAATAGTCTCGCAATATCAAAGGAGCTTGTAAAGTCAATATCAAGCATGATATTTTGTTCCAATATCACGCGTGATATTGAGAGTGCATGAGAGCGGAAAAATATCAAATGATTTCTGATTTTGCCAACACTGATTGAGACGAATGACATTGATATTTTAACCACAGACAAACAGACATAACACATTGAATATTTATCACTGTAAAACATCGTCACTAAAACATTACCGCCATCTGTTGACTACACAGTGGTGGGTAGTACGTTGAACAGATGGCGGTAGTGTGTAAACGTCAAACGCAAGGGAATTGACTATGCGCGCCACAGGTGGCGGTACTACCAACTACGATACTTTTAAATTGACCGTTAAATGCTTGTTCGATGAATAACTTGCGAGTGTTATGTCTGTTTGTCTGCGTTTTAACTATGTAACGTGATTCTGACATCAGGTGGTTAGTGAAATTCAACATTTTGTAGGTATTGACATTGTTATTTACAGGATTCCCCTTAATAATTTTATGATTCTCTCCGGCATTTCCTAGAAAGTTTCTCCATAACAGATTCGGATTAGGAATTTCCTCCAGAATACTCTGGAAATTCACTGCACATTTATTTTCGTATTCTGTATAATTCTAACGAAAATTAAATTTCTCTCCCTAGTATTTCTTTAAATTCCTTTAAAGAAATCTGTATGCACTTTAAAATTTTGAATCACCTAAAAATTCATGAAAATTCTTTTGAAATTCTTCTCAAAATAACGTTAGGAGAATTTCTTGTAATTTTCTTAGAATTCTTTTTGGAATTCTCATGAGACTCATTAGAATTTGAAATTTCTATAGAATTTCCTGAAAGGCTATTGAATGCTTTTGGAATTATTATCGATATTCAATTGGAGCTCTCCTCAGAATTTTCTGACTGATTGAGTGATTTAATAACTTTTAAGGGATTTTCAGCCGTATGTGAGCATCAAGGATAGTGTCAGAATTGTATCCATAGAATTTCTTCGGAATTACAATAAAATTTCCTGGAATTCTACTCATAATTCCGATAATATTAGCTTCTGAACTACCTTGGATTTCACCTTTAGTTCTTGAATTTTCTTGAAATTCTTGTCAAAATTACCTGAAACTTCTAGTCAAATTTCTTCAGAATTGTCGACAGAATTCCTATAGAGTGAATTGTAGAGGACCATTATTCTCATCAAAAAATCATTTGACAGTCTTATCCAAATTCTCCCGATAATTTTTTAATCCTAAAATGTTATCTTAGTTCAAGATTTAGGTTTCTTATTAATCTGACATCTTGAAAATAGTGCTCGAAAAGTTCACAAGAATGTAAAAAACTGATCTAGTCTAGCCTTCAACAAAAATCGTCTACCAATCTATCACTTTATAACATTCGGCAATGACCCACATTTCTTAGTCAATATTTTTTTTTATCTGGTTCGTTTATTTGGAAGGCTCAATCGCGTTAGCTTTACGGAGCCAATAATTCATTGTTCATTTTTTGTAACAAAATAACGGGGCGAATACTCGCGGCTTACCCGAGGTTAGAAGGTTACATTACCGAAGGATAGGATTAGGGGAGAACCTGGGGGGTGGGATTTCGTTGTCTCATCAGAGCGTTGTCGCCAGTATCAACGGTAGTGCGGTTCTAGATTCGTCTGGAGTTCGACCGGCTATGGTGACCAGTGGGCGACGATGAGACTCATCGATACGGGGGACAAGACAATCAAAAACTTATAAAGAGAGACAAAAGACAAAGGAATAACATTCTTATACTAGACATTTGCAGAGACACATAAATCGACTGCATATAGCAGAGATCGCGGGTTGCCAACACGTCTCTGATAGGAACATAGGGTTGTCTTCCTTGGGCCTCGAGGGTATTTAAAAGTCGCTCTCTGGCGGATGTTGCTGTCCACGATGTTAATTCTATGGAGATGCGCATCTAGTGAGTAGTGGTTGGACATAAGTCTACTCATCACGTGGAATAAACTACGCCCTCGAAGAAACATTAGGAATAATTGAATGTAACCCCGTCCATGATTTCCAGTGTCCCAATCGGTTTGCCAACTCGAAAGAGTGGTTCCGGAGATATGACCGACTACAAACGACCTGAAATTTGCCAAACCCTTAATTCGACACCTCAAATCACATGAGAATTTGAAAACAAGCTCCATGGTAGTCATATCAGGTACCCAGGATCTGGATGTTGCTGACTCACTCAATATGCTTATCTAATGGGAGCCAATGTGAACTGTCAATCGGGAGCCAAACATTCTGAAATCACACATGTAGTTACTCTTCTTTTTGAAGTAAAGAATTTGTCAATGGAGTTTACTGGAGATGATCATCCTTGTTTGATATGACAGCATACATTTATAATATAGTGACCAATGGTGACCGACCACCACTTTTGAATGTTACCCTTTATATCTAAGTTGGAACGTGAGCTAAGTTAAGAAGCAGTCTATCAATTTCAAACCTTTTATTCAGAGTTGATGCGAATAACCATCAGAAAATAATAACCTTCTCTATCGATTTCCCTTTCTTCCAGATCAATGGCTTGGTGAGAAGTTAAAAGTACCCCAACTGTCCGTCGCCTCCGGTGGTTATGCACTACCACTGGCGTCGTCGGCGGCCCTCGTGGGTATCGTTCCCGAAATCGGACCCTTCCCCCACCAGCGACAACCGGAGAAGGTGCAGAACACGGAGGAGCTGCTGATGGAATTCGACTACGTGTATGGAAATGTCGAGTTGACTCATCTGACACCGCCTCAAACACCACCCCAAGAGGCCCAGTGCGGTTCAACCGAGCAGCCAACGTATCTTACGCTGCCTTTACAGCCTCTGGCATCGGTACCGGCTGTCAACGGAGGATTCTATGGTTACGCAAGTTCAGTGAACGGTGCAATCCTGCTGAATCAGATACCGACCGTTGTGGAGCAGCATCCGGCTTCTGCCGAACCCCTTCAACAGGTTCCCGGAGAATACCAACTAGCCGATAGTTTTGGCTTCCAGCCGGTGGATGAGGTGGAGAACATTGCCCGTAACTTGGAGTTGGTGGAAGAAATCGTTCGCTCCCGGTCGAAAGATCTCCCGGACTGCAACGATGAAGATTCATGCTCATTTTCCGAGGCCGGTTCCGTATCCAGCTCGTCCCCAATGAGCGATACCAGCTCGTCCTATTGTGGGTCGGCGTACTCACGTGACCAGGATGACGAGTGGAGTCCGGCGAGCAGCACCAAGAAGAATTCAACCAGCAAAGTGTCCGGCGGTGGCGTCTCAAAGAAGCGCACTCGTCCCTACGGTCGCGGTGTTGAGGACAAGAAATCCCGCAAGAAGGAGCAAAACAAGAACGCCGCTACTCGTTACCGCCAGAAGAAGAAGGCCGAAATCGAAGAGATCCTTATTGTGGAAAGTCAGCTGAAGGAGAAGAATGATGGATTGAAAAGCAAATCTGCCGACATTGGGCGCGAGATTCGATATCTTAAGAGCCTGATGCGCGAGGTTTGCAAAGCGAAAGGCTTGCTTTAAAGAACGAAAGCTTCGAGATACTTATTGTACCTTAATTTTTTTTTCTTCTATTTCTTTTATATCAACGTACATTATTAAACAAAATTCGATGCATAGTTTGTACCACCCTATTCGGTAAGATTTGCTTTTACCCGCGGATTCCTCATTCTATACTTCTACGGTTGACCGTATCGTGTCGTATAGGAATCTTACTAGTTTATAGTCGTTATTAACACAGACGAGTTTAGTGTGTAAGCTATAAAAAAATGACGATACATTGCGAACGAGTTCAAAACAAAACATTGCAGAAATCTGTAGTCATTCGTGGATTAATTCGATCGCATATATTCGCGAAGAATTTTTGAATTGATGATGTAACAACCCCAGAGGGAAGAGGAGCCGTTCAGTAAACAACCCGTGGCTTGCCACCTCGCGAGAGATCCGTCCCGCAATCGTGACGCGCAGTGTATGACGTCCGCTTGGCGTGACCGAAGATCTGCTGCCGTGTCGGATTGCGGCGGGGCTCTCGGGCAAGGCTGTGTTGATTGATAAGGACAAACAGACTTCTTATATTAACTATTGCGCTTCATTGATGGGAGACAAATATTGTCATCTTTTAGAAAAACCAAATCTTCTTAATTCCTGAACAATTTGTAAATTTTGCAACAGCTCAAGATCTAGTGTGATCTCCCAAAGCCCTAAATTAGAACTTCTTCTTGAGTCTTCGCCACGATTAACAATGTCACTTATCCAGCACAGTGAGTCGTTTTTCGATTCTGTCGGGAACGTTTGGCGGCATGATTTATAATAACATCTTTTAACTATTAATAAGATCATTCGTATTTACAAGAAAATCAAGAATTTGGGAAATATTACATCGAATAACAGAAATGGATAAATGAAACCTGAGAAATGTTTCAAAAGTGCAACTGGAGACGTCAAAATGAACACATCGCTGCGCGAAGTGACGCCGTTTGAACGTTTCTTAACCTGGATCTATTGATGTTTTTGTGTGTAATATAAGATGGGTTAAGAAGAATTGGCTTCCGTTTCATTTGATCCGAAATAGTCCGTTGGTGTTTAGTAGAAGCAACAAGAGTCTTGGAACAGTCATCCGAATTGTATTAAGTGGCTGTTCATAAACAACGTAGACAGTTTTTGATAGGTTTTACACCCTCATCCTCCTTCGTACACAACTGTCCTTGCTATTTTTTTGGAAGTTTGTCTGGACTGTTGTACATTACACATTTATATCATACAAATGCTATGATGACAAATAGCATTCAATTCAAAAGGATAGCAACTAATTCGTCAATTACTATTATTGAATACTGACATTGTGATATGTACTAAAAATGAAATTGTTCATAACATGTGTTTAAGGGGGTAGTCCACTCTGGAAATTTCAAAAAATCCTTTTTTTGGCTTAAAAAATACTTTGGAATGTCTAATTTGACATAGACTTGACCGCAAGTCCGCAAGTGACATCGTTCCAAAGTTAAAGGCCGATTAGTGGACTCGTGTCCAGACGCTCCAAGCGCGCTCAGGTGAGCGCTCGGAGTACCCGCCCGTTACCGGCGATTATCTCTAAACGATGTTTTCAAAATTGGCGGGCACTGTATTTTAGAAACGGCTCATTCGATTTAACTTCTTCTTCTTCTTGCTCGCATTTCAAGCTTATTGCGTATGGCATATTAGCTTATTGCGTGCTCTCAACTTAGTGTTCTAGATGCACTTCCACAGTTATTAATTGAGAGCTTTCGATGCCTGTACCATTTTTGCATTAGTATAATTGTATGGCAAGTCCAATCATACTTCTATGCCCAGAGAAGTCGAGAAATTTTCCAACCCGAAAAATTCCTAGACTGGACCGGGAATCGAACCCAGCCACCTCCAGCATGGTCTTGCTTTGTAGCTGCCTTTACCGACTGAGCTAAGGGAGGTCATTCGATTTAAACGGTGATTGAATTTTCGAGTTAAGTACCTTTTGTTCTAGTCTTGTACGTAGCCGATTTTCAAAAGAATCAAAAATGGATTTTTGGTGCAAGCTTTTATCTCCAATTTTAGGGTACGAAAACGGACTGTTTTTTTTTCAAAACGTCGCCAAATTTTTATTTTTCAACCAAATCAAAAACGGCTACGTACAAGACTGGGTCATCTATCAGAGAATAACCACAAAAAAAATCGTTGTTCCAGCTCCAGTGGTGTGATCGCCAGACGTCCCGCCCCGCGACGACTCAAACGGGAGGTCTCCTGGGGAACCTGGTGCAGCGGTTACAGGAGACATCCATTCGCGCCAAAAAAATCTCAATTAAATAGGTCATTTCAATTGACAAAACCATGCATTCCTTTTTGAATTGATCGTTATACCCTAAAAAAAAAAAATTCGTGAAAATGACCTATTTTTCATGCCGCCAGAGTGGACCTACCCCCTTAAATAACCAATTTTATTTTTTTATTTTTCTATAAGAACCTTGCATTCTCGAGCAATTGTATTGTGGAAGCATAACCATCAGGCGTGAACCTTATAAATTCAATAGAAGAACATCAAAGCCTAAATGTATGCTTCCTTTCCATGCAATCAGTAGCGCATTTTGCCCCGCAATATTTCGTAAACAAGTTTTTGTTGGCCTTTTTTAATTTTACCAATTTAATAAAAAAATTTAGCAATTTTCGTGAAGTATATCAATTGTATTATCCCTTATTCTACGAGACACGTGACTCTCTGTCACCGGTGAAGTGACAATTGCCATCTCACCAGTGAAAGAAAGTCTCGTGACTCGCAGAATAGGCTTTCCAATAGAAATATCTTATCCGACATTTAGATGACATTGCATTTAAACATCTATTCACCTTGTGCATTAAATGGGGATCTTTCGTAGCATAGGCATTTTACCCCCATATTCACTATAGCAAAGGACAACCAAGCTTGTGCGTGATTTGAGAGAGATCAAGATCAAGAAATCAGAAAACAATCATCCCATCCTTGGGGTAAATCCTTATTGATTTGCGATACACTTACAAGAGGTTTGGAATCACTAGTTGGACTTCAGCTATGTTTTGAATAATGTTACACAATAATTGACAAATCATCGTTTCATGTATTTTGAAGTTATATTGTAAAAATATATATATGAAAATATTTTACATAAAAATTTAACGTACAATTACCAAATCACAAAATAAGATTCAATATTTTATAACACCGTGCATACACTTATGCAGCTTTAAAATAGCTCAATACTGGTAGCTCAACGCCTAACTCGACGTCTCGTCCGCAATCGTTAAAGATACGCTTATCCTTCTTGAGCCACGTGCAGGCTGTCACATCCACCCCTTTCAATTTGGTCGCTCTCGTCAGGAATGTCTCCATCTTCCCGACGCTCAACGAGTAGCAATAACTCACATCCAGCTGTTCCAACTGATGGCAGTTTTGCCAAACATCCAAGAAGCTTCCATCCAGCTCAGCATTCCCCGGAATGGCCAGTGCCTTCAACTGGGATGCACCCTCAATAAACGCTCCAAAGATATCGTCCCGCAGTGCACATCGCCCCAAGTCCAGCCCTGTCAGGTGCGACAGTAGCACCTTCAGTGCGGTCAAATGTTCGGCACGTAGCTCAACATAGTTGATGGTGAGATGTTGCAAGCTGACGCAGTTTAGTGCGACATCATTGACGATGGTTCGTTTCAGATCTTCGTTCATGATAAATCCACCGGAAAATTTAAATGCTTTCAGATGTGGTCCTATGTTGCTCAGTATGACGTTGATTCGCGGCAGATCGAAATTTTTCAGGAACGCACGGTAATCCAACTCGAAGTGGTGTATTTTGCGAAGACATCTTCTGGAGAGCTGCCGGAATAGGACACATACACCAGACGCGTCAAGTAGCTCATTGAAGTCAAGGTACCTGAATATCTCCAGAAGGGAATCTTCATCCAGATCGTAGATGGTTAGCTGGCCGAACGAATCGGATTGTTTGCTATCGTTATTGTACTCGGAAGGAACATCACAGACATCAGTCATAATTTATGATACACAGATAAAAGCACAATTCTACTAGCAATAATTGATTGTATCTGAAGGTGATAAATTACACGAAACCACTATTGCTATGGGACATTTGCACGGTCGGAGGACAGACTAAACAGTGAAATGCATCTACTAGGTAGCACCAAAACACTAATCGGATGTAAGTTGAGCATGCAATACACAGTCGAACGGCGTTGCTTATGTCATTCTGTCGGTATTTGTCTGTACGGAGCTGAACTTATGACTGTACCATCTAGTACGTTATCTGTGTGCGAAAAAACAAGTTGAAATAGGGGTCATGTGGTTGTGGTGGATGAATTATACCTGTACGTATTGCGTATTGGAAGATGTAGCGCATCGAACGATAAGCAGCACGACATGAGGATGCAACATTTAGTGTTGTCAAAGACAATTTGACTGTCTGTAGGTCTGTATTCTGTGGTTTCAATTACAGGTCGGACTCGATTATCGTTAATTGACTTTTGTCACTTCCATCGTCGAGTTATAGCAAACGACTATCCAATACGCAAAGTAACACCTCCATCGGATCAAAGAAGACAATCCTCAATCTGTTGGTAATGGTGATTGGTATGATTGCGTTGTTGTTTGCAAGAAAGTACCCAAGTATCCACGAAGGCCGCTAATAGCCCGATAACGTTCCTTATTATTTTTTTTTTTTTTGTTAATTACTTTATTTGTACAGGCTCATTCGAATAAACTTTACAGAGCCAAGTTATCATTTTCTTTATACATTATAAATGTCTTAAATCTAAAATTAAAGGATTGGAACCGATTACTCGCGGTCTTCTCGAGGTTAGTGGATGACAATTGTTTGGATCGGGAGAGGGAAAAGGAGATTTGGAATATGATTTATGATTCAAAAATTTCACTATTTCTAAAACAAATACTTAATCCTATCGACGTTATATCAACTCTGTAATTATTCAATTATTACAGAAACAAATCTACAAAAAAAATACACACACACATACAAAACACAAACTAAACACAAGGTTAATCAAACTTACAATCTATGGTTAATATTCTTCAAGAAAACATATATGAGTTGCATAAACTCCAGATCGCGTCTAGCCAAAATATCCCGAACTGGAACATTAGGTTGTGTACCTCATGCCCGAAGGGAATCGTACAACTCGGATCTGACACCACGGTGCTCAGCACATGACCAAATAATGTGATCTGCGTCCTGGTAACCTTGTCCACATTCACAGAGATTACTGTCGCCCAGCTCAACACGGAACAAGTGAGCGTTTAACGAGTAGTGATTGGACATGAGGCGAGACATCATACGAATGAAGTCTCGACCCACATCCAACCCCTTGAACCAAGGACACTTCGACACCTTAGGGATGATTGAATATAACCATCGTCCCAAACTCCCTTCACTCCATTTATTTTGCCAGCTGGCGAGGGACTGTTGACGATAAATGAAGAAAAATTCGTCGTAGGCGATTTGTCGATCGTAAATATCGCCTTCCATAGCGCCCACCTTTGCAAGCGAGTCCGCCTTCTCATTGCCCGGAATCGAGCAATGAGATGGGACCCATGCAAAGGTGATGACAAAAGATCTTAAAGATAAAGCACTCAGAAGCTCTCGTATTTTCATGAGAAAATACGAGGAGTGCTTTACCGGCCTCATGGATCGAATAGCCTTGACAGAACTGAGACTATCCGTAAAAATAAAATAGTGATCTGGTGCAAGTGAGGCGATCGTTTCTAGCGTATAATGTATTGCCGCTAGCTCAGCAACATATACGGAACAAGGAGCTTGAAGCATTCGAGAGGCGCTATGAAATTCGTTATAAATACCAAAACCAGCGGACGCCTCTATTAGTGATCCATCTGTGAAGAACGATCTTGCGGAATCAACTTGGCCAAACTTTGCAGCGAAAATTGACGGAGCAATCATGGAACGATGATGTTCTGGGATTCCGCGAATCTCTTGCGTCATTGATAAATCAAAATGAACAGAACTGTCGAAGTCGGAG